ATACGAACCGGTGTGGGAATCGCTCAGGATGCCCTTGAGGGATAAAAAGGAAAACCGGCGCCAGACGCGCCACTTCCTCGGCCGGCAGGAGAAGGAAGCGATCGAAGGACATCTTTGACTAACTACCTCGCACGCCCCAGCAACTCAAACCATGTCGCTGTTGCACGACAAGTCCTGCTAGTGCGTCAAGTCTGAACTGGACCTATTCTCTGTTCCACCCACGCAGACCAGCATCGAAAAGGGACAGTGGGAAGAGTTCCATCCCATCTCCTTCCACCCCTTCATACCCCTACCGAGCCATCTTGGAGACGCTGTGCAGCTACGGCATGGACGCCAAAACGTCCCAGCTCAGCGTGGCGTTGTTTTTCATGGACACCGCGGGCCACATGGACAGCGCCGACCCGAAAGCCGATGGCGAGCGTGCCAACCTCGGTCTGGAAAAAACGGGCCGAGTACACGAAACACAGCGGAGTGGTTGACATGATCGGACCGCTACGCAGCGACATTTTCTTCCAAGAAAAGCACATGCTGAACGGAGTCGATCTGAAACTGAAACTGATCTGGAGCAGCGACTCGTTCTGCATGATGGCCACTGGACCCGACACCACCTACAAAGTGGTAATTCTCAACGCCTCCCTGTTCGTAAGGAAGGTCAAAGTGAGCTCGGCCGTCATGCTAGGGCACGCTAGAGCCTTGGAAAAGGGCACCGCCAAGTATCCCATCAAACGCACTCTCTGCAAGATGGTCTCCGTGCCTCGGAGAAACCTCACCCTCAGTCAAGACCACGTGTTTTGGGGGCAACTGCCGAATCGAATCGTGGTGGGATGCGTGGCCAACGACACCTTCAACGGGTGATACGGGAGAACCCCTTCAATTTCAAGCACATAGACATCTCCTTTTTGGCGGTGTACGTCGACGGAGATCAAATCCCGTACTCTCCGCTAAAGCCCAAATTTAGCGGGTGCAACAAGAATTACATCAGATCCTATCAGACCCTCTTCTCTGGAACGGGTAAAATGTACAAGGACGAGGGCAACGGCATCACTCACGACGACTTCGCCTCCGGGTACGCACTGTTTGCGTTCGATCTCACCCCGGACTCGACTTTGGGTGGCCATTTCAGCCTCGTGAAGCGGGGCAACCTGCGGCTGGAAGTGCAGTTTGCGAACCCGCTGCAGGAAACCATCAACGTCATCATCTACGCCGAGTTCAACAACATTGTCGAATTGGACCGAGCTCGCAACGTGATCTTCGACTACGCCAGTTAATTCCATCGCGCGAGTATGGACAGTCACGAGATCGACCAGATACTACGGCGACGACCGCTTTACCAAGCATTACTACAGGGGCGTTTTTGCCAGTGACCAGCTCCCCAAGAGTGCCGTCCCCAGACCCAGCGCACTCGTGTTCAACACCGACCCGGCTTCAAAACCGGGCCGCCACTGGGTGGCCATCTACATCACCCGGAGCAGAGAGGCTGAATACTTTGATTCTTACGGACAGCCGCCTCAACTGCCGCGGGTCAAGTCATTTCTCCGCAAAAATGCCAGTCGCATCCACCGTAATCGTCGCCCGCTTCAAGGACCGCTCTCCGCCGTCTGTGGACAGTACTGCATCTTCTTCCTGTTACAGCGTTGCCAGGGACAGAGTTTGAACAAGATAGTCAGCTTGTTCTCCTCGAATACAATGGACAACGACATACTCGTGAACGATTTCATACGAAGACATTTTCCTCGCGTGAAAACGTCCGTTTACGACGACCACTTTCTTATCAGGCAGCTGGCTAGGGCTTTATTGGAAAATAGAGACGGTTAAATGCTGAAGCTAAAGTTTATTAACAAGAGCGTATTTTGCACCACGTTCATTTGGATATTAAATAAAGGTACGAGATTTAGGGTGAAGGGACGGTTTTGCTTAATGATAATGTATACGCTAGGTCAATTGGCTGATTATCTATTGAA